ATCCCATAATAAACGTTGAGAAGATCGTAGAAAAAGAATTCTTAGAAATATTTAAATGACTTTAAAGAAAAGAAAATACTGGATCGATTAGAATTTGATCAATGATCGAATCGAAACAATTTTTCGATTCGTAAATGTGAATATATTGAGATTAAGTCATATTGTTGAAATTCAACAATGCGTACGATATTTTTATTCTTTTTTGGATTTTTTGAAGTCTACTCACCTGATGAATATTTAGATAATTTTACAGAAAAGAAAATACTGGATCGATTGCAATATGTTCGATCCATGATACGAAATAATTTTTCGATTCGTAAATGTGAATATATTGAGATTAAGTCATATTGTTGAAATTCAACAACGCGTACGATATTTTTATTCTTTTTTGGATTTTTTGGAGTCTACTTATACGATGAGTGAATATTTAGATAACTTTAAATTAAAGAAAAGAAATTATTGAAATTTAATGCGGCATTCTTTTTCTTTTTTGGATTTTTTCGGATTCTACTCACGTGATGACTTAGAAATGCGAATATTAGTTAAAGAAAAGAAAATATTGGATCGAAACAATTTTTCGATTCGTGAATTAGTTCTCAGAATATATCGAATATATTGAGATTGAATTGTTGAAATTTAATGCATTTTTATTCTTTTTTGGATTTTTTGGAGTTTACTCACATTATGAGTGAATATTTAGATAACTTTAAAGAAAAGAAAATATTGGATCGTTTTAATCCACGAAACAATTTTTCAATTCGTGAGTTCTCAGAATACGAATATATTGAGATTAAATCAAATCGTTGAAATTTACCGTATTCTTATTCTTTTTTGGATTTTTTGGAGTCTATTCACATTATGAGTGAATATTTAAATAATTTTAAAGAAAAGAAAATACTGGATCGATTGCAATACTTTCAATGATTCGAAACAATTTTTCGATTCGTAAATGTAAATATATTCAGATTAAGTCAAATTATTGAAATTCAACAACGCGTGGCATTTTTATTCTTTTTTGAATTTTTTGGACTCTACTTATGAGTGAATATTTAAAGAACTTTAAAGAAAAGAAAATACGAAACAATTTTTCGAATGTAAATGTGAATATACTGAGAGATTAACTCAAATCGTTGAAATTTACGCGCCATTTTTATTCTTTTTTGGATTGCACTCACGTGATGACGTATCGATCATCCTGGGGCCAGCAGATGCAACGGGCGTAACACAGTGGCAAGTAGCTCTTGCCGCAGCACGGGCTCGTCCAAATTATCTTTTGAGAGTTGACGCAGTACAAGTTCACCTGCGACGACTTGGTGCAAATGGCCAGCTTCGTACCTTGATAACAACGTTTCTTGTGAAATTCTCTCTCTCTCTCTCTCTCTCTCTCTCTCGCTTTCATCGAACCGCTTACCCGCGTTGTTCCACTTGAGCGCGGAAATATTGGATATTTCCACGTTCTCCAGCTCCGTGTTATCGCCTGCATTCTGCCCGTTGTACAGCGTCACGATATCCTGGACCGCCGCTGCGATGATATTTTTCGACCCCCAATCGACCAGACGTCCCTGCACTTGAATGCAAGTGGAAATATTCTCTTTGTTAAATTATTTCTCTCGAATAAAATAAAAAAGAAAAAAATAAAAATGTATCCCTTTGATATTAAAAAGTGAAATGAAACTTCAAGAATTGTACGAATTATTCTTATTATACACTTCGAAGCGTGTTTCGATTCGAAAAAAAAAAAGGGGAAAAAGAAAAGAAATATTCGAACGATTTGTGATAAGAAAAAAACTTCGAATCGAGGCGATGACGATTTCGATGCAAATACGCGTGAGATTAAAATACGAATTTTTTCGTATTACGTTAAATATAATAGGGAAAAAGTAGAAGGAGGAATAAGAGAGAGAGAGAGAGAGAGAGAGAGAGAGAAAATGAAATGTTTCGGTGCTCGCAGCAGCATTAGCTCGCAAACCGAGCGAGACGTTATTTAAAATACTATTATGAAATTCTTACTCGGCAACGTTGGACGCGGCGAAGTTTGGAATCCGGGCATATCTAATATGGAGTCTATAATGCCTATTAAAGGCCTCTTTCGCGGCTTCGATTTCCACATTCCATCTTCAAACTGATCCTCGTCCCACAGCTCCCTAGGCCGGCCAGCTAAGTTTCCAGGCAACTTGTTTTCCGTCGATAAGTGGTTTGCGCGCAGCACTTGTTTCTGTCTCACCCCTGGTATTACGTTTTCTTTCACCATTAATTGGTGCATAAATTTCCTCTGCCATCTAGTGTGCAGAGAGTCCACCTGTGCCGTTTGTCAGGGTTTAGTGTGGTTTAAAACGACACTTGACAAAGAGGATATTTTCTTTTTTTTTTTTTTTTTTTCCTTTCTTTTATCAAATAACGCTTGGAAGAATGAATATCTCTGAATTTTTCTTTAATCCAATTTCGAAATTATTGAAATTTTCTCTCGCTGTTCGAAAGTTATCTATATAGAAACCAAGTTTTTCTAGATCTAGAGATTATTTTTGAACAAGATATATTGTATTTTATAGCAACAAAGTTATCTTGAAAAATTGATCATCTTCTATTGAGAATATATATTAATAACGTCTTTATAAACAGATTTTAATTAAGAATCGATTTATCGGCGAGATATAAATACGATTAATCGATCAAGTATTGAAACACGAACGATATATCGATATATATATCGCGACGATTCGATGACTTAGTTTGTAAAAGGCATTAAAAAAATTTCATAAAAAAGAAGAAATAAAAAAGGGGAGAGAAAAAATTTTCGATTTTCTTCGACGAATCTCTCCAGAGGATATCTTCCCTAGAGAATTCTGTTTCTTCCTCCGACATTTTCTTCCCACTTTTCGTTTTCAAAAACGAAAGCAGCGAGGATACGCTGTGATATTATCTCTGTGAATCTCGATCGTTGAGCGCCAGTTAGCGAGACTGTTCACCGGCTAAATCGTTTATAATAATAATAATAATAATAATGATAAAAAAGCGAGGCGTGGTGAACTGACAGACTGGTTTACGAGAGATGGGGAGGAAAAGAGAGAAGAAGAGAATAGATTGACAGGTCGATGTCACGGTACAATGTACATTCGATAGCAGCATCGCCATCGAAGTAGCGTTTCACGCAGGAAATTAAGTTTATCTCGATCCATCGATCGATGATTTCTTTTTCTTTTTGTTTCATTCTCGAATTTTCCGATCGAATTTTTCATCTTCTTTCTTTTCCAAAGACTTTTGAATACTTCGAGTGCAAGCAAAGAAGAGATATTATTACACTCGTTCTCTCTTTCATCGAATAATAATTAAAAAGTTATAAGTTATAAAAATTTAGTAGATATCGAGTTTCAACCTAACCTACCTAGCGTAACTTAACCTAACCTAACCTAGCCTAGCTTAGCCTAGCCTAGCTTAACCTAACCTGGATAGGTTCATTCCTAATTACTGGAGTATTTTTATTATTAATAATTATTATATATTTTAGATCAATTAATATAATTAAAAATTATGAATTTAATTTTTTAATCCAAATAATGTTTTTTTTAAAAATTGGAATTTTTCCTTCTCATTATTGAATAATTTTTTCATATGAAATAATAAATTGAAGACAAAATTTTTTAATATCAACATTAATTAAATTTATCAAAATTTATATACTTATTGTTATATCTTATATTAATTATTAACCTAACCTAACCTAACCAAACCTAACCTAATCTAACCTAGCCTAACCTAACCTAACCTAGCCTAGCCTAGCCTAGTTTAACCTAGCCTAACATAACCTAACCTAACCTAACCTAACCTAACCTAGCCTAGCCTAGCCTAGCCTAACCTAACCTGGATAGGTTCATTCCTAATTACTGGAGTATTTTTATATTTAATAATTATTATACATTTTAGATCAATTAATATAATTAAAAATTATGAATTTAATTTTTTAATCTAAATAATGTTTTTTCTTAAAAATTGCAATTTTTCCTTTTCACTATTGAATAATTATTTCATATGAAATAATAAATAGAAGACAAATTTTTTTAATATCAACTTTAATTAAATTTATACCAATTTATATACTTATTGTTATATCTTGTATTAATTATTAACCTAACCTAACCTAACCTAACCTAACCTAATCTAACCTAACCTAACCTAACCTAACCAAACCTAGCCTAGCCTAGCCTAGTTTAACCTAGTCTAATCTAACCTAACTTAACCTAACCTAACCTAATCTAGCCTAGCCTAGCCTAGCCTAGCTTATCCAAATCTAACCTAATCTAATCTAACCTAGCTTAGCCTAGCCTAGCCTAGCTTAGCCTAGCCTAGCCTAGCCTAACCTAACTTAACCTAACCTAATCTAACCTAACCTAAGCTAACTTAAAGTAATAGTAACCGCCTGAAAGTAAAAAATAAAAAACGTATAACGCGTGAAAATCGAAAGGAAGCTTTTGTAAAATTTCTTCGAGAGAAAAATCTCTAAGAATAAAAATCCCCTAGAGGATTTTGAGGATTTAGCAAGCTATTATCGCTGTGAATCCGATCGAATCCGAGGAATAATAATATAATTCTTCGAATCTTGAGACGCGACAAGTCTCAAAAGATTGAGAAGAGCATTCTTTTCGATGAAAATTGAAACAATTGCGCGATCGAAGGAAGGAGGAAACTTTCAACTTTCGAGACGACTGTTGAATTGAAGACTGTTGAATTTTACACACAATCAACTCTGGACGCCTCTTTATCAAATATCCCCGACAAATATTCATTCCGCGTCACTCGTGGAAATGCTTACAGATTTTACTCCACTTCGAGGAGGATATCTCGAGTATCACAATCATAATGAAAACTCGTCTCTTTCGCCTTTTTCCCTTTTCGCCTTCCTTCCTTTTTTGTTCCCGCGAAAACTCCAACTCCACGTTTCCCTCGGCTGAAACTCTGAAAACAGTAATTTCCACGCGGCTCGCCGTGATTTCGATCTTATCTCAGCCGATTATCGGAGATTACGTGCCCCCGTCGATAAACACGAACGAGGGATACCTGTGGCGCCCACATCCGCGCCGGTCTTTATGCTAATTTAGACGATTCTCGCGACGAGGCGAGCGTTGCCGCCGACCACCGTTCGCGGAATCGAAACGCGATTCTACGAAAAAAAAGAGAAAGAAAAAGAAAAAGAAAAAAAAGGAAGAAATAGGTTTAATACGATCGTTCTTATGCGTCGATAGATTATATCGCTTTTTTCATATTGCGTATGCAATATGGCGAACGCGTCATAACAAACGTTCAATCTCACGCGTTGAAAGTCGTATTTATAGATCCGTGCGCATAAAGGCACAAGGTGATATCAAGTATGTACACTTTTTATTTTTTCGTTTGTATAAGTTTTTCTTTTTTCTTAAGATTTTTCCAATTTTTTGAACATTCGTTTCCAGGTGTATCTCACGCGTTGAAAGTCGTATTTATAGATCCGTGTGCATAAAGGCACGAGGTGATATCAAGTATGTACATTTTTTATTTTTCGTTTGTAAGTTTTTCTTTTTTCTTAAGATTCTTCCAATTTTTTGAACATTCGTTTCCAGGTGTATGCAATATGACGAATGCGTCATAACAAACGTTCAATCTCACGCGTTGAAAGTCGTATTTATAGGATTTGATCCGTGTGCATAAAGGCACAAGGTGATATCAAGCATGTACACTTTTTATTTTTTCGTTTGTAAGTTTTTCTTTGTTCTTAAGATTTTTCCAATTTTGTGAACATTCGTTTCCAGGTGTATCTCACGCGTTGAAAGTCGTATTTATCGGATTTGATCCGTGTGCATAAAGGCACGAGGTGATATCAAGTATGTACACTTTTTATTTTTTCGTTTGTAAGTTTTTCTTTTTTCTTAAGATTTTTCCAATTTTTTGAACATTCGTTTCCAGGTGTATGCAATATGGCGAACGCGTCACAATTACGTTATTCTCATACGTGAAAATTCGTTACACCTCAAATTTATAGAAATTAATTCATAAAATAGTTTAAACATACACTTTTTATTTTTCGTTTGTAAAATTTTTTTTTTAATTATCTCAAGATTTTTTTAATTTTTTGAACATTTCGTTCGTTTCGAGATGTATGCAATATGGCGAACGCACAATTACGTTATTCTCATACATGAAAGTTCGTTACACCTCGAATTTATAGAAATTAATTCGAATAGTTAAAACATATATTTTTTATTTTTCGTTTGTATAATTTTTTTTTTAATTATCTCAAGATTTTTCAAATTTTTTGCTTTGTCCACGTGTGTGTAATATGGCAATTTAAAGGATTAATTCGAATAATTATGGCACAAGATAATCCAAATATACTATTTATATTTCATTCGTATGATTTTTCTTAGTTATCTCAAGATTTTTCAAATTTTTTTCTCTTTTCCACATGTATGTAACATGGCAAATAAATAATACGTAGAACTTATAGAAATAATTTGTGCAAGTTTTTTTTTAGTTATCTCAAGGTTTTTTTAATTTTTTGATTTTTCTACGTGTATATAATATTGCAGTTTATAGGATTAATTCAGTTTATAGGAGTAATTATGACACAAGATAATTCAAGTATATTTTTTATTTTTTGTTCGTATGATTTTTTTTAGTTCTCAAGATTTTTTTAATTTTTTGATTTTTCTACATGTATGTAATATTGCAGTTTATAGAATTAATTCGAGTAATTATGGCACAAGATAATCCAAGTATATTTTTTATATTTCGTTCGTATGATTTTTTCTTTTTTAGTTATCTCAAGATTTTTCAATTTTTTTTTTTTTTTTCTTTTTTGCCTTTTCCACGTGTATGTAACATGGCAAACGCATCAGAATACGTCAAATTTATAGAAATAATTTATGCAATTTTTTTTTTAGTTATCTCAAGATTTTAAAAATTTTTTTGCCTTTTCCACGTGTATGTGGAACATGGCAAATGCAAAATACATCGAATTTATAGAAATTTGTGCAACTTTTTTCTTTAGTTATCTCAAGATTTTTCAATTTTTTTGGGGATATTTCCAATTATATACACATAAATGTATGAATAAATTGGACGAGGATATAGAGTCGATTTCTTCGAGTAATCGACGAGAAAAGGAACAATCGATTTTTCAAGCAAGAATGATAAATAAAATTATAAACTGAATTTTTATCGAAATGACGTTCGATGAGATCGCAATGATATTTCGTCTCATTCAATTTCACAAAGAAAGAAATCTCACCCCATATAGAGATTCTATTCCATCGAAGATTTTAAAAAAATTCCAATTTCATTCTACCAAGCTATAACAAATATAATTTCGAAACCTTTTTCTTTTTATCGAACGGATTAATGTAAACATCACCTCACCTGTTTGAACACATCGATCTCGTCCCTTTGCAATCGATCCTCGTTCCTTTTCTTCAAAAGATAATTAGCAGCTTCCAAATTGTAATTAAACTTTATGAATCTGTCCTCGTAATAAGTTTTCTTCGGCGCTTTGAGCGTGTACTTTTTAACGATTTGTTGGACAGATTTCTCAATCGTTACTTGACAATTGTCAACCACCACCGGTTTTTGACTATCTTTATCCTGAAAGAAAAAAATAAATAAATAAACAAATAAATAAAAAGAGATTAAAAACGCTGAAACTGTGCCTGTGTCAAGATTTAATTAATTTAAAAATTTAATTTAAAAGATTTAATAAAAAAAAAAAAAGAAAATTATTCGAATCTGTTTAAATACAGAAAACATCGACGATAATATTCGATTTTATTATTTCTTCACGGATATATAATGGATCCGTTGAAGAGAGGATAGAAGGGGAGGGCAGAAAGTAGACGAGAGATTTCATTGATTATCGAGGAGGATAATGTTCGAGGGACAAGTTTGGCAAGATAATTTGGCGCTGCAGGCATTATGCGTTTAGAGGAGGAGAGAGATACGAAGGGATACAATATTTATATAGACCGGTATCTGTACCTCCAACGAACATCTGGTTTCGACACGAGCGACAGATAGAGGACTGGCTCTTGAACCTGATCTCGCGCGAACAGGTTTAAATTTCTTACTCTTAACGCTTGTAAACGACTGATCGTATTAGTCCACGATTTTTATACGTCGATCAATTCGAAATACAGACGTGAATGAAGTGTCTGAACGAGATGGAATGGATTCAATGAATTTCCCCGCGGAGGCAATCGATTATTGGATGGAAAAGTCGAAAGCAAAATCGTCAAAGTTTCGTCCAAAATCGAGTTTGGATGCACGCGAGAACAATCGAAGCGGTTTTCGAATTCGATCTTATATTTTATTTCGAAAAAGTAGTTTTTTTACTTTCGTAGTCGATCTTCGAATTCTTTTAATAAAATTCTGTACGAATTTTTTTATTTTTGCAACGAATGAAAGGGATGTGCTCAGGTCTTGTGAAACCAGTTCATCAAGACTCGAATGTTAACTTTGTAGGTATGTCTATAACCAAAGAAATCTAATAATTTTATATATTTATTTATCACTTTATCAAAATTATAAAATTCACACAATAAATTCTTGAATTATACATGATCATAAAGATATTTCGTCTCATTCAAAATCACAAAGAAAGAAATCTCACCCCATATTCTTAATTCATATTTATCATAAAGGAGTTTCATCTTATTCAATTTCGCAAAGATCAAAGATCAAAAAGCGCAAAATCCTTGAATCATATTTAACACAAGGATTCTTCACTATATTCAATTTCACAACTGAGCAAAGAAAGGTGAAAGAAAAAAGAAAGTCACAAATTATCCGCCATATTCTCGATCCACGTTTATCACAAAAGCGGTTCATCTTATTCAATTTCATAACAAAGATAAAAAAAGCATAAAATCCTTGAATCGTATTTATCACAAAGATTCTTCGCCATATTCAATTTTATAATTGATCAAAAAAAGGTGAAAAAAAAGTCATAAATTATCCATCATATTCAATTTCAATTAACTGATCAAAGAAAGATGAAAAAAAAAAAAATCCCAAATTATCCGTCATATTCTCGATCCATATCACAAAGGTGGTTCACCTTATTCAATTTCGTAACAAAAATGAAAAAAATGCGCGCAAAATCCTTGAATTGAATTTATCATAAAGATTCTTTGCCATATTCAATTTCACAATTGATCAAAGAAAGATGAAAAAAAAAAAGTCATAAATTATCCACCATATTCAATTTCACAATTGATTAAAGAAAGAAAAAAGAAAGTTATAAATTATCCGCCATATTCTCGATCCACGTTTATCACAAAGATAGTTCACCTTTCATAATACATTTCATAACAAAGATGAAAAAAGCACGCGTAAAATTCTTGAATCATATTCTCGATCCACGTTTATCACAAAGGTGATTCACCTTATTCAATTTCGTAACAAAAATGAAAAATACGCGCAAAATCCTTGAATTGAATTTATCAACAAAGATTCTTCGCCATATTCAATTTCGTAACAAAAATAAAAAAAATGCCGCAAAATTCTCGAATCGA